CGCGTTTTGATTGATTGATTCTTTTAAAATTTCGAAAATTACATCGGTGGTAGTATAGAAAACGTAAGAAATCAAATTATTTTCTGAACTGCGCAGACTTAATTAAAAGAGGAAAAGCATGTTCGCATTTCCGGATTAAAATAGAGGCCCGAAGATTAAAAGTCGAGGCTCTTTGCAAAGGTCTGTATTTGACAGAAAAGAACAATTTACTTGCTTTAGGAAATTTATTGCACACACACACACACGCCAGTGCTACGTTTAATTTAAAATAATCACCGTAAAAACGTACAGACATTTACAAATGTGTGTTTCTGTTCCAGATATTCCCGAACTGTTGGTATATCAAACCGTTCCTGACCGCGGATATCAGAACTATAGTAGTATTTACCTTACACAGTGCGAGCCTAGTTGGTCTCTCGAAACGGATCGCAATTGGACGATAGCGAAGATGATTTTACTGTATGTAATACCGCTAATATTCATGACGGTGGCCTACTGTCAAATTATACGTGTCTTATGGCGTTCGGGGCACGTAAGACAACATGCGTTAGGTAAGTAATATTTACGATTATATAACTCATTATTTCGTCAGCCAATCAAATTTCTTATTTTCCTTAGATACCATGATATTGACATATGAATATACTCTTCACGACGTGGTATAATCGTTTTATTTGTTACTCAGTTGTAAACGTTGATTAACAAGACAAAACGCAAACGGGTAAACGTCATGTTTAAACGCTACTGACTTGTAAAACTGACAGCAGACCTGTAAAACTGACAGCAGACCTGTAAACATTTTACAAGTTAGTAATCTAGTAATTTCATTGGCCAGAATTAATTGGAAGTCTCTGTTACATGGATAACATGATATTTTAGACATTTCTTCAAGATTAATTATTTAAGAACTAATTATTTACGTTTACTATTGTTTACAAATGAGTAACAAATAAAATATTGTACATTATACGCCAGGTAATAGTTTTTACTGGCTCTAGGAGATGACAAGCTCGCCTAACGGCTCGCTAGGCAACTTCTCCTATCGCCAGTAAAAACTCACTTACCTGGCTAATAATGTAAAATACTATTGGTGTTTCGCTTCTAACGATTACTAGATTCAGAATAGGTTTATCGGTTTCGGTTGTTTCAACAAACGTCAAAAAACATTTATTCTCCATTACATAAAGATTTCTTGTTTTTTTCGTTATGGAACGTTTTGGAAATACTTCCGATGCTAAAATTAGTGAGGAAGTAAATCATTTAATGCCGGCTAACACGGTGAAAACTCATAAGTATGTATGAAAAAGTTTATTTCGTAATCCCTACAAAATACCCCTTAGGTACGTTTGGAACCAGTTTTCGCAATTTTGCAAGCACAGGAATTACGTTTTAACTAGCCAAACTTTAAACGAGGAACTTGCAAGTATCTTAAAAGACTGGGCCTTTAATATGAAAAAATGATCAAAGTCCTCGTGTGAGATCGAAGGGACTTCAGCGCATTTTTGTGTGGCAGATCAGTGTTTTATTAGCCAATATTGACTCCACCATCAATAAGATCTTGCTGAAAGCTACCACGTTCACTTTGTCGGTACCATTTTCTCACTTACCGTGCACTTGCAATTCGCGTTTGAAGTTTTGACTCCACCATCAGTAAAATCCTGTGGGGGTTACCATATTCCCTTTGTCGACACCCACTTCTGATCACCCGCAACAATTCGGATTTGAAGTTTCGACTCCACCATCAGTAAGATCTCGTCGGGGTTTATCAAATTCCCTTTGTGGATACACAGTTCCGACGTCCCGTTCATTCGTAATTCACATTTTGGTAGATTTCGCTAAAATCCCGGCATAAAATCGTATTCAACTTTTGGGTACTTCACATAGAATAGACCTTCTATTAGTGACACGAGAAAGAGAGACCGCGATTCGCGCTGTAAGAAACTTTTGGGCGCCCAAAGTCGACTACCCCTCGAAGCGCGCCGCGCAAAAGGTGGTTTATTTCGCCCCTAGGAAAAAAAAAAACAAAATTCCGCCACGCAGGAGTTGTGCGCGTTGACAAGATCTTCCCGACGATACCAATTTGAAAACAATCGGAGAAAAACTGTAGAAGAAGATAGATAAAAACTGAAAAATCTCCAGGTTAGTATAATACGCTCGGGGATGGCGTCCAGATGTCGTCGACTCCAAATCTGGTAGCCCCATCCCTAACGTTCTTAATTACACGGCCCCGATAGTTACATGTACACTCCTTGTCTTTTTACAAGCGTATTTCTACGGGCGCGCATTTACTGCCAGCCAGCCAGCCAGCCAGCCAGCCGACCAGCCAGCCAGCCAGCAAAGCTACTTTTTACAAAAAAAATTTTTTGCAAAAATGCGCTAAAAAACAGATGGCACCGACTATAAAGAAAGTGTAGTAAAAACATTATGGAATATTACAGCCAAACGCCTTCAGAAAAAATACTTTGAGGAATTTAATCGCAAAATTGATCCCTTTAAAGATATCATTTTTGAAGATGCTAGAAAGGCACGTTCCGCCAAAAGGAAACTTTTGCAAGCAATTCCCGAAAAAAGGAAAGTTAGTTCTGCAGCTCTTACGAAATACGAAATCAGCAAAATTGTTGAAAGTTTTGACGAAGCAACACCCGATGGTCTCCAAAAAAAGTTCTATCATTGCCGCCGTGGAACTCGCATGGAGAGGTAACGAAGCCGCTTTTTGTTTGCTAGAGTATTTTAAAAAGGAAGTCAACAACGTGGGCGTCTTTACTGGCCGTTATGAATACAATACTGTATTCTCCAAGACTGCGCAGGGTGGCGAAAAAAATACTGCCAAATGTAAATGGTTGACGCCAAATGTGAAATGCAAAGAACAATGTCCAGTACGTCTTTTAGAAAAAATGCTAAGCAAGAGAACAGCAAATATAAAAACCAATCGTTTATTTTTGACTCCAAATTCGGACTGGTTGCAGACAGGAATTTGGTATAAGAATTGTCCAGTGAGGATTAATCAGTTAAGTAAATGGACGTCTCAGGGCGTAGAACATATTGGATTGGATACCAAAAAACGTAAAATTACGAACCATTCGAATAGGTCTTCAACAGTAAGCAATTTGAGTGAATCTGGCGCAAATCTACAAGAAGTAATTAAAATCACTGGTCATTCTTCTACGGAATCTTTGAAACCGTATTTAAAGCTTAGTAGCCAACACCATTCGCACATAATAGAAAAAATACGAAAGGAATCTTCGCAGTGCACAACACTACTCTGCACTCTACCGCTATTGAAAATTCAACTACGCAAAAAACTGACAATAATGTAACCAACATTTATTATAATAACTGCGTTTTCCATATCAATTCAAAATAAATTGAATTTTGTTGTTGCTAATACCTATATTGATTCCGTGTTTTTAGTACATATTATAACATGGGACAAATTATTCATTATATAATCTAACGAATACTACTCTTGTATTCATTACAATCAGAATATACTATATTGATACACTCAACGTATTTTTTTGGGAATACGTTTCGTGTCCAATACAGTATATTCGATTATAATGAATGCACTCGTGGTATTATAAGTGATAATTACCTATATTGATTGCACAAGCTATCAACTATCTAGTTTGTAATGGGCTACTGCTATTTTTGTTTACTTGGGAAATCGTACTTAACTTGAATTTCCAAAGGCTACTCGACAGCAACTCATTTTTGATCGCCCGTTATTGTAACTGATTAAACCGTAGTCGGCGGTAGAAAACGGCGGAACTGTGGTGCAGGGAACGGACGGACGGACGGACTCGAGCGCCAGCTGATGAAAATCTCGTGCCTGGACGACGTCGGCGGTATCTACGGAAGGACGGGTGGATCTCAGTAGCTTCGGAAGAAGTCTCAATCGGAGATGTTATCTCTGCGGTCAGGTCAAGTAAATGGCGGCGGTCACTCCAGTAACCCTAAAACCCTAAAAAAAATGACGATAAAAATGTGAAAGCAAAACGGCAAAAGGATCGATAGGGCACGGTTGCAAAATACATAACTTACGACAATCAAATAGTCAAAAGATTTACTTGCTTACGGTCAGTAAAACAGACAAAAGATCAAACTTACGGCAATTACAAAGGCACGCGAAAATGGCAAAAGACGCGGACTTACTTACGGCAAAAAAACTCTTCCAAAATTGACTTTTTACCTTAAAGAAACCCAATTTGGTAGAAATGGAACAGGGAAAATCCAACTCTTCGCGTATTCAATACGAAATCTAAAGAAATCAATTCGATTTTTAATTAACCCTCTCGTGCATTGGGTCCACTGTAGTGGACAGTTATTTTTTCTTGAAATATAGGCCACACATTATGCCAGGCCCCTAGAAATCATTACAGATCACTTCCACAACCTTCATTCAATCACCAGTAAGTGGCAGCACAGACCAACAAAGTGTAGAATTCATAAAACCACATGTTTTGTGTTGTATGGTGTTGTGCTATACAATTCAAGATGGATGACGATTGTTTCCAACCTATTAGTGCTAGAACTTTTTATGGAGGAGGCAGAAAAAAGGTAAAAAATGTTCATTCGCTGCATTGTGGTCCTCTAAGACATGTGCATTGTGCTTCTTCGCCGATTTAATTAAAATAATATAATTATCAATCAAAACTTAGCTGTCCACTGCAATTTGGGTTGTTTTCCAACAATATGTTTTCTATTTTTAGACTGTTATTTTTGATCTTGATAATGATATTATTGGTGTCGAAGAGAATCCTGAAATCGAAGAGGTTATTGAGATTGAAGCGGGTGATACGGAGCTGGACATCACCGAGTTCAATTTCAATTTACCCGATGGGTCTGAATTGGAATCCGAAGCTGAAGACGAAAATCTCTACCAGCTACAGGATACTGACGGTGAATTTAGTTCAGAGGATGAAATACCATTGGCCCAATTACTGCGGCGTAAAAATTGAAAATCTAAAAAGGCCATTGACAATAAAAGGAAATGGGTAAATTCTGACAGTATGTATGGCCCTGGTACTTTACCACCATTCCTCGGTTTGGAAGGAGGAAAAACTCAAAGTAAGAGACCAATAGATTACTTTTTATTTTATTTCTCTGATGAGATCTTAGAAGAAATAGTATTTCAATCTAATTTATATGCACACCAGTTGGACAAACCCAACTTCACCCTTACAAAGTATGAATTGCAAACATTTTTGGGTATAAATTTGATAATGTCGTATATAAGATATCCACGAACACGTCTCTACTGGAACAGTGATGCTGCATTTCGTATGAGTTTCATTGCAGATTCTATGCCTGTAAACAGGTATGAATCGATTCTGAGACATCTACATTTTACAAATAACCTGGATCTAGATACTAATTCCACCGATAAACTCAAGAAACTCAGGCCATTTCTCGATAAACTTCAAAAGAACTTTTTGAGTGCCACTGAACCAGAAGAATACCAGGCAATAGACGAACAGATTGTTCCGCTAAAGGGGCGGTTGAGCATAAAACAGTATCTTCCGAAGAAACCTAAGAAATGGGGCGTGAAAATTTGGGTTAGAGCGGGTGTAAGTGGATATATGTATCGTTTCGAAGTATACCAAGGAGCGGGAGGAGGACGAGAGGCAATTAGCGATTTTGGTGCTTGCGGAGATGTTATTCTCCGTCTCAGCGATGACATCCAACACAAAAATCACAAGTTGTTTTTCGATAATTTGTTCTGTTCTGTGCCACTGTTGCAAGAGCTGAAACAGCGAAAAATATGGGCTACTGGTACGTTGAGGGGAAATCGCCTTTCAGGAGCAGGAGAATGTTTGATGTCAGAAAAAGACATGAAAAAACAGGGAAGAGGTACTTCTTCTGTAGTTTCCACAGAATCAGGGGATATTACCATAACAAAATGGATGGATAGCAATGCCATACACATAGGTTCAACATGTGCAGGAGTTGAACCACAAAGTTCTGTGAAACGTTGGTCTAAGCCCAATAAAACCACTATTGAAGTAAATAGGCCGTTCTCTGTCAAATACTATAACAAGAATATGGGTGGTGTTGACTTATTAGATCAACTACTTGCACTGTACCCTTTGCGAAGGCGGAATAAAAGGTGGTACATTAGAATATTCATGCATTTTCTGGATGTAGCAGTAATAAATTCTTGGATTCTGTATAAGAAGGATGGAAATAGCGATATGGATCTCCTAGAATTCAAAGGAAGCGTTGGCCGAACACTCATAAATAGGGGTACTAGAAACTCAGAAAATAAAAGGGGAAGGCCCAGGTCTACTACCCCACCAACTAGCATACTGAAAACGAGAAAACCAAACCACCATGCTCCAGAAGAAATACGGAAAGACAATTTTGGACACTGGCCCAAACTTACAGACATAAAAAATGCAAGAAGATGCCACTCGTCTTCGTGTAAACGGAAGACCAAAGATATATGTAAAAGGTGTAACGAGCCATGTTGCCCAGATTGCATGGAAAATTTCCATAAGTAGGATGTAAAATGCACTGTGTCCACTAGAGTGGACAGTTAAAATTTTGACTTTTTTTGAATATATTTTTTAATTTGATATACTTTTGAGTTCCTGTAACCCATTTTCTAGTTATATAAATACAAAAAATAATTTATTTTGTTTTTTTTTATTCTTTAAAATAAATCATGCATGAGAGGGTTAATTACTCGGCTACTGTTCGTGCTAAAATTCCCGGACATATGGTAATCGCTGCATTAATTAAGCGCGCAAAATTTGACACCACAATCTCTGCGATCGCCGCTCCTTTACTGTAACTAATTTAATTAGTGAATGTTAATTATACATACTCAAAAGGATTCATGGGCGCTCATGAACTCATTACATTAATAAACATTGTTAATTGCAAGTTTTCGGATACAGAGCCGGCTGGCGCTTATCTAATTTTTGCAGGCACGCCGCCAACTGATAACGAGGAAAACAACTCGCTTCGGAATTTGTTCTATCCTTGCTTTTACTTACTATGGGGAACTATAAACAATTAACGGCGTTGAAACCAAAAAATATTAATTGTGTCTCATATTCACCATGACGAGAGCATTCGGTGGTTACAAAAATAATTCCAATAGGAATGGTCGTAGATGGACTAATTACGGTATCTCCTTGTCTCTATGACACCGCGGAAAGTTCTCGAAGTTACGGTTTTTTATGTAACGAAGCCCAAACCAATCGTTCCTATACAGGGTGGTCCTTGCAAACGACATACTCAAAAAATAAACTCCGGATGCTTCGTTACAATTCGACTTTTGTATCGTGTAGTCAAGCCTTCTTGCTGAAGGGATGGTATGTTCAGTATCTTGTCGACTAACTTTGACAGCCGTGGGTTGTGAGTGATTCTTAAGGAGCTTCCATGCTGCTTAGCAGTGTGTATCGGTGATGTTTAAATGTGGAATTACCCTTGCCGGTTCTTCCTTGCGTTAGTTTTCAGATACTGCATCTCCACAACGTTTGCTAAAGATGTGTTGTGGATAATCTTGTGGAAAATGTCTTTGAACTTCGTCCATCTGTCGTATTCACCGTCAAAACTCGGTAAATTGAGCTTAGGTGGTTTATAACATGTGGATTTTATATTATATACTATTAGATGTGATATGGAAAAACATGAAATCAGGATTCTTTGCTACAACACAAGGATTGCGACAAGGTGGAGGGCTAAGTCCGACACTGTTTAATATTTTTATGGATGATGTTATTAAAAGTTGCAACGCTAACACACAGAAGGCTTTTATAGGATATAGGCAGATGAATAGGGTATTAGTATCGGAATGTGCTTTTGCGGATGATATAGTTATTATTACAAACACGGAACAGGATTTGCAGAACAATTTGAAGGTGTGGGACGAGGAATTAAGAAGCAATGGCATGAGCATAAATACCACGAAAACTAAGGTCATGGCAATAGGAGCAGAAGAACTGAATCCAAAAATCACATTACGCGAGGAAACCATAGAACATGTTAAACAATTTAAGTATCTCGGGGTAATGATAGACGAAACAGGTAATGAAGATGCAGAAATCAACGCAAGAATTAACAACTCCTTAAAACTTTATTTCGCGATTAACAAAAGTTTCATAAGTAAAAAAGAAGTCTCAAAACAAACTAAAATAAATGTGTATAAGGCAGTGTACAGACCTATTTTGACATACGGGTGTGAAACGTGGGTGTTAACACAAAAACTTAAAAGTAAATTAACGGCTGTGGAGATGAAATATCTTAGACGAACAAAAGGTGTAACAAGAATGGACAGACTACGTAATGACCACATACGAAACGAACTGGACGTACAACCAATACTAAAATTCATTGAAAACAGACAATTAGCGTGGTGGGGGCACCTTCAAAGAATGGACAACGTAAGACAAGTGAAGCAGGTATGGGAATCCAGGAGCCAACACAAAAGAAAAAGGGGCAGACCGAAGATAACATGGGACGAGAACATAAGGAAGATACTAGAGGCGAGAAATACCACATGGAGAGCAGCAAAAACCCTGGCCAAGAATAAGAAAGAGTGGGCGAAATTTGTACACACATAAATACTACTTTTTTTTTATGAGAATTTACTTTTTTTTTCATTTTTAATGTAATCACAATGAAATTGTTTAAGTTAAATGTGAAGCTGTACTATAATACCTTTACACCTAAGGGTAGAAAGGTTTCATGATTATATATATATATATACTATTAGACCGCTCCGTCGCGTCGATTTGAGGACGGAAATTAGCAAATCCGTATATTTCCTCCGAATGCTGTAATTACTGCCAATTTCATATCCGTTAATACTTGATTGATCAAATGATATTCGGTCCCTTAACAAACCCCTTCGAGCACATCGAGAGCAACATAATCGTAGTTTCCTATACACGGTACGAAACTGAAGGCTTTTTACCGGTTTAAAGGGATTTTACTAGTTGATGGCATTGTTAAATTTTGCCGCGTGGCATATCGCCCAAAACCTATAAAACAATTTATATTTCTTTTCCCTTAAGCAAACATACTTTAGACAGATATCCATTGTACCTCACGTATTTTTCTTTTAGATATTTCGGACGGAAGACAGATGAACACATTTGCCATGAATACAAATACCAGTACAGAGAGCCAACTGCGATCTAGAAGAAAAGCCGCAAAAATGTTGTTTGCCGTTGTAATAATGTTTGCCGTGTGCTATTTTCCTGTTCATCTACTGTGTATACTTAGGTATGTAATTACATTTCGATTACTATTGACATTTTGCACTTTACTGTGTTTTCCCGGTTTGTTTAGTTGTTCTTAATGTTTGTGATTGAATTAAACGAATCTATTTATTTACTTAATGATGAGTTAACAAGATACGCTATTTCTAACTTACAAATTGTCAGAACAGGGTTATCAGGCAACCTTAAGCAGCATTTTCAATATTATTTCCTGTAAAACGGATATTGATGGTGCTTATTGTCAAGGGAATTACTTAATTTTTACCATTAATTTAGCCAATTATGAAAAACGGTCAATTACACCACATTCGTTATCACCTGAATATGAAAGTTACCAACAGTTTTATTTACTTCCACTATTGTTCGGATTCATCGTAATAGTTTTTAATTCGTAAGTTATCCTTTTTAAATGAGGGTCACTTAAAACTTTAATTCGCCACGGTACAAATGCTAATCACACTCAAACAAAATGATTTCGATAACACTTGTTATGCAAATTTTTTAGGTGTTAACATTGATCCGAAATTAACGTTTAAGGAACATGTTAGTAAAGTAGCCAAAATAATACATATTTCTCCTACGGCGTTTATCTGAAAACGTTTCCCCTAATATTTTACGTATGGTCTATTATCAGTGATTCAGACTCACTTATATTACTGGAACATTGTTTGGGGTAATTGTGCAAGTGCAACACGTCCTCTAACGTCGTGCCATTAGAATTATAGGCAATCTGCATTATAGAGAAGATTGCAAAAATGTGTTTATTAGATTCAGATTGTTGAAATTTCCCTGCATATTTATACTACACTGTATTCTATATGCTAAGATTCGTGCCAATGAACTTTGTTTTAAGGTCCGATATACATAGTTATAATACACGAAATTGTAGTAATCGTGACATAAAGCATTACAGATTAGATAAAACTCACAGAAGTTTTGTAAATATTTCGTTTGAGCTTTTTAACCTGCTGCCTGGCCAGACCAGGGATTTACCGTACAATACCCTGAAAACTAAATTAAAAACATTCCTTACTGAAGGCGCATTTTATACTATTAAAATGAATTTAAAGACTGTGGTTTATGTGTACCTACTACCTTCTTATAATGAATGCAGTATATATGTATATGGGTATGCGGTGAAGTTATGTTCTAATTGTGCAATTTTAACTCGGTTTGCAATAATCGCCAACTCATAGGTATTAACTTACTTGGTTTGGACGTGATGCATTATGCCGCAATGTAGTTCATGTATTAACGATCCTCGAGATAGTTTATAATTTTGTACTGCTGTATGTCTGCCCGTCTGCCTGTGCACGATAACTTTGTTTAGAAACGTCCGGTCGCTTTGAAAATTGGTACACATGTTCTTAAGGATATAAGAAAGGTCGCTATTGTTTTTTAGTTACGTAGACTAACGAGCCAAACAGTTACAGCCCAAAAACTGCTCGAACCTTCAAAGAATGGTATCTTTTATAATAAGTTCTTGTTACAAAGAACATATAAATGCCCGGTTTTCTGTGTCCGTAAATATTCATTAAACCTCAAACAATTTTGAAGATGAAAAAATAATATTGCGCATGCGCAATCTAATTTTTGTATTTGTTAAGATATTTAAATGAAATTGTATGTACGCACCTCGAGTAAAAGTAAAAGTAATGCTAATGGGAATGCGGAGAAGTCAAAGATACTATTAAGACGATGGATGTTAGTGTTATTTGATTTGATCGTCTGTTAATAGTAGTAATAGTAATAGTAAGAAAATGGTGATTCAATTAAAAAAAACCTGAGTTTTTAGTCTTTGAAGTTTCATAACTTTGGATCTCCATAGGTGCGGTTGTCCGCAACTTAACTTTTTTTTAAGTACACTAAATGAAAGCCCTATTCATTCTCTATGCACTAATAAAAATGGGTTGCTATGACTACAATCGTTTTCAAGTAATCAATTATCAAAGTACCATCTGCATCCGCCATTTCTTTTCTTAAAGTCAAAATAACTTAAAAACCATAAATGGTAGATATCGACATGTGGATATCAAAAGAACTGAAATTTCACGTAGAATCCAAAAATGTAATAAAAAATAGGGGTTGCCATTTAAAATAACGAAGTTACTAGCCACTTCCGGTATTTCCGTCCATTTTGAAAATATTTTACATCGTTTACGGCGCATTTTAGCGCATGATTTTTATGGCTTAACCGTAATGGCGCTAGCTTTAATTCAAGTGGCGCAATTGAGCGCATAACCAGGTGTATCGAGTGGCACAAATACCGGTAGCAAAATGCGTTATGGGGTTCCGTTCACTTGGCCCCTTGTCCTCTATTTTTTTCTTTATTCTGTTTTCTAGTGATGTGCTGAATCTTCGCCTTTTCCTAATGTTTCCTACTTTTGTATATAAACTTCCTTCTTTTTTTGGCATTGCGCGAGTGCGGAATCAATTAAAAAATCGATGATTGACGTCACAAAAGTACTATCAGAACCGAGATCAAGACCTTCACTGCTTTCATTGTCGATTAAATTGGGGACTTGTGAATTTGAAGGGCAAATAAGAATATTTTGATGAATAATGATGGTTGGCGATGGGGATTTGCTTTCTTCATTAATCTCTTCTAAACTTTGTAAACTTGAAGATGAGGATGAAGGCATCACAAAATCAGGGTCAATTTCTACCTCATCTAATGTTCTTTTTTTATAGTTTTGTGTCTTTATTGCTGCAACTTTATTACATACTTAATTCCATATTTTGGCTTGCCAATTGCAGCATTCGCATAGATCTAGCATTAGAAGAGTGACTATTCCCAAATAACACAAGTATATGGTATGCATATATTGAAAGCTCTAATAATCTACAATGTACACGCTATGAATATGCATGTATATGTACGAATACGAATGTGAAATGTACTGTACATACGTATACTATACATGCACTTCCACCAAGAAATTCCATTTTATTCAATTTAATGTCACACGTCAAATACTCCTTGTCATGTCAGACAAGAATACGCTGCTTCTCATATCAATGACGGTAATAATAATTTTAATTCTTTGTTCAACTTCACATTCCTGTAATTTTAGCACAGCCTGATGATGGGTAACTCATAACCCGAAATCGATCGCTTTATAGAAAAACAATAAAAACAGTCGAGGTTCTTTTGAATACTTCAAATACTTCAAAATGACAAAATATACTCAAATTTGATGAAAAATCAACCTGTTTTTGGCAACGTCTGCCTCATGGTAACAGTATCATCCTAATTCAACATACCTACATAACCTCAAAATGTACTATATAATACTATTTCTTACCTCTTTTAATTGCTGTTGTGTATATGGACGTTTGTTTTTGTCCTTGTAAAAATTATTGTAATGTTCTTGGAACAACTCACATTCAGTCTTTTCCGACATTATTTTTGTCACACCAAATTGTATACGATCGGCGCGAAACTCGGATTTTGAGATTGCAATGCTGCTGAACACAATCTGCAAGTAACGCCGCGCCGTCGTTTCACGAAACGACGGCTTCTAAATTACGTCAAATCATGTAGAGATCGGTATTTCACTATGCGCCAACATGAGTTGGGCATTTCACGAAAAGCCTAGGCAGATGGCGTAATTCTAATTCATTACGCTATTTGCCGGCGTTTCGTGAAATGACGGATTTCACACTACCACAGATATATTAATAATAATAATAATATGATATATTGTGCTACTGTGTGTTTACACTTACACTTGTCGTACATTATTCAAAACTAATACAAAAACATTTAGGTTTACATTCATAGGACATTTACAATTATTATTAGTAGTTACGACAAAATAGTAAATGAAATTGCTAACCTTAATAATGCAGATAGGACTTTCTGCTTTAACATAGAGTTGTATAATCGTAATATGATCTGATAAAACCAATAATGTGAAAATACAGTGAGATTATGCAGTTACGACTCTTTTTCTTAACAGGGCAGTATAGGTACTACTGCTAATTCCGATTACTGCACATTACGTCATTTAGTCAGTTTCTGTATTTGAATCAAGCATTCCTCACACTCCGAAAAAGACCAAGCTCGTTCTTGCGGAACGGAAACTTGATGAAAACTCCCGGTCACCGGGATTTTATACCCTTTTATACAAGACAACACGAAAGGATCGGAAGTAATCTTGCTCCAACTTTGAATAAAATTGTTTAACCGTCCAGCAATCTTACTTACTGGAACTACTGCCAACTGTAAGACGGACGATCCCTTTGATTGTATCTCCTCCAATTCTTTGGGACATTTTTCTCTAAATTTTTGGCCGCTTTGACATTGTCCTCCAAATTCTTACCAAATAAAAAATCGTCTATTGCCGTAGCATTCAAGGTTTCTCTTAAATTTTCATTTAGATTTGGTCTTACTAGGGTTCGTCTAAGAAGACTTTGGTTATATTGAACGTCGGCTATAATTCGAGCAGAATCATTTAATGATTCTGTTATCACCCCCGCTTTCCTCTCGCTCGAAATTAGATTTGTTATAGCAACACTTAACGCCGCTAACCCTGCACTAATTTTGTGTTGGTTTTGTTCGAGTCTAGTATCTCTCTCGCAAATCTTTTCGGATAAACACCCCAGTAAAGAGGCGTTTAATTTGGGGACCCTTATCGCCTCACAATTATTGGGCACAGGATATTTCAGTAAGAGTGAAGAAATATCTTCAGTTTTTAACCCATTTTTTAAAATATACCAAATCTAAATTTAAATTTAACTGCGTAAGTATTACTGCTCCCTCGGTAGGTTTTTTAACGACGTCATTGCCCAACAGCGATAAGAGCATATATGTGCGCGCCAGCGAATCTTCGTCGCCCGACTCCCCGTAACACGCTCGCTCTGAACTACTGTCCGGTGTGGGAGTTTCAACGTAACGTAAACTGTTCTGGGTTGGTGTAATACTTCCTGCGGAAGAAACCAAACCAGCGTCTTAAATTGAATCGAAACGAAATCACAACACAGTTAACCTCGCAGGCGCCG